AAAAAAAATTGAAATAAGTTTTTATGTTTTTTTTTTTTTTTTTTTGGAGAGGTTATCACTATAGGGCGTGTGCGCTCACCAGGCAGACAGAGACATAGAGACAGAAAGCGAGAAATCACCCCCCCAGGGGGGCATGGTCACACCGCAATCCCTTCTCCTCCTTTCTCCTCTCGGGACCTTGGGCACGCACATACACGTGCCTGGCGTGAGTTTTAAGCCACCGGGTCCGGGACACAAACCATGGTCGACTACGTGGGAGTCCAACGACATAGCCATTATGCTAACTGCTGGTTCCCTAGAGTTTAAGTCTGAGAGAAAATTCTGAAGGGGATGCATGTCCTATGTTAGGAGAGGTCAGGCAAAGACTATCCCTAAGTATAGAAGTCTCAGAGGGCCCTGGTTTACACTGCCAAATGGTCTATTCTTAAACCTTATGAACACCTGAGTCATGCAAACTTGGGCGAATCTGCACCCACTGATAATGAGATCTGTGTGAAACTTGTTCAGTTACTAAGAATATTGAGGACTACAGTCATTCATTAAAAAGTCCTCTGCTCTTTTTATGAACAGTAGGCTAGTGGCTTCTGATACATGTTTGTGAGCTGGGAAGAATTTTTTAAAGTAGTTAAAACTCATGGGGAAGGAAATTTTAGTTCTGAATTTTCAAGCGCAAACGTTATAATGACCTGTCTGAAATGCATAATTATCAGTTTACTGAAACATTTCTGAGTTGTAGTACACCGAGCATCCTATGCTATTCCTTGACAGTAATAATATATGAAATCTCAATGTGTATGTCTCTGTGAGGGTTTCCAAAAGGCACATGCCAGCCCAGCACTGTAAAGGAGTAAAGGGAACCTTAAACACAGTTTAATAATGTAGCATGGCCCCCTCTGCCTTAGTATTGTCACCTCAAATCTTTCTGCTACTGACATTGACAGGATTGCTTTGTCCAAACCGAAATGTCCTTGTTGTTCCAGGAATCAGTGACCTTTCAAGATGTGATTATAAACTTCACCCAGGAAGAGTGGACCCTTTTGGACACATCTGGGAAAAAGCTGTACAAAGATGTGATGCTAGAAAATATGAATCATCTGGTATCTCTTGGTGAGTGTGTCATGTGTACCCATTCATTAACCAGCAAGTATTCAAAAGAGCTTCTCCATATCCCACTCCAGTTTCTGTCCTGAGTCTGTCTTAGATTTAATAACTATGTGAAAAGTTCTTTACACTTAACTTTGATCTAGTTTTATCACATTGCTAGATGGTATTGGCCATCATTTCTTTTTCTTTTCTTTCTTTTTTTTTTTTTTTTAATTTGCCAGAAGACATGTCTTCATCAGAGACAAAAGGAAAAAATAACCACCACCACCACCCCCATGGGGCATGGTCATGCCACCATTCCTTCTCTTCCATTTCTTCATCCTTTTGGGATTTGGGTCACATATACAAATATGCTATGCTTATTTTCATATAATCTATGCACATCTTCCAGTGCATTTATCGTCATCTCCACATTACTTATAATACCTAATACAGCATCAATATTATGTAAGTAATTGGTGTGTATTTTCTTATTTGTATTAGTTTTTGTTGTTGTACTTTTATTTTATATTACTTACTCATTTGTTAAATAGTTTCACTATGAGTTGGTTAAATCTGTTGCTGTGGAGCCCATGGATCTGGAAAGCCAACTGATTATTCTGTTCTAGTCACTATGCTTAGGCTTAAGACCAGAGTAGTGAAAACAGCAGAACTTTGATTATCCCTGTGGAACTTATGTTTACTGATTTCTGTTTGAAAATAATATTCAGCCCACTGTGGGGCATTTAATTTCTCCCTTTTTTGGAAAGACTGTTAATTCTTCATCCTCAGTGAAAGTGCATGTGTGCGTCAGCATCCTAAGGTCCTCCCTGTTTTGGATATGCAATCTGGATATCTTCCTGTTCCAGTGAAGGGTCTTTAATGTTTTCTCTGTTAAGCATGATACGAGAACTGATTTCCAAGGTTCTCCTCAATTTTTTCAGTAATCTTGATGATAATGCACATTTATTAGCACAACACTCAAAATCCATGTACTCTTTC